AAAAAACTTATTGACAGACTGGTATTTGTGATAGTGTATCGGTAAAGCAGCTATCTGTAGTCTACCAAAAAGTCAAGTAAAATTTATAATCTCTTCTAGCGATGTTATTTTCCGAGCGTAGCTGTTCATATGGTTTCGAATTTAATGTCACAATTAAAAATACCAGAAAAGTTGTAACAAAAGCTCGTTTTAATAGTATCCGATTGTGCACGGTATCAAATGAGAGAACTACTTTTTACAAGAGAACCTTCTATGTCTTGCTAAAAGATTATTAAAATTGATAACTACTCTTAACTAACCAATAAGATGACTAATAAATGGAAACAAACAATGTTTCTGGTTTTTCAACCACAAGACTATCTGGCATGTAAGGGGTGAAAGTCAAAGTAATAATGTAACCTTTGGGAGGTAGATAACTGAAATATAAAAACTACTTACTTACTTACGCCTGTTACCCCTTGTCGAGGAGCATAGACCGCTCACCAGCATTCTCCATCCAACTCTGTCCTGAGCCTTCCTTTCCAGTTCTCTCCAGTTGCTATTCATCCTTTTCATATCGGCTTCTATTTCCCGGCGTAATGTGTTTTTTGGACTTCCTCTTTTCCGCTTCCCTTCCGGATTCCAAGTTAAGGATTGAGTCGTGATGCACATTGGTGATTTCCTTAATGTATGTCCGATCCACTTCCAACGTCTTTTCCTAATTTCCTCTTCAGCTGGAAGCTGGTTTGTCCTCTCCCATAAAACGCTGTTGCTGATAGTATCCGGCCAATGGATGTTGAGTATTTTGCGTAGACAACTGTTTATAAATACTTGTACCTTCCTGATGATGGCCGTAGTAGTTCTCCACGTTTCAGCTCCATACAGTAGGACTGTCTTGACGTTCGTATTAAAGATTCTCACCTTGAAATTGTTTGAGAGTTGTTTTGAGTTCCATATGTTCTTCAATTGTAGAAATGCTGCCCTTGTTTTGCCAATCCTCGCCTTTACATCTGCATCCGATCCTCCTTGTTTATCAACGATGCTCCCCAGGTACTTAAATTTTTCCACCTCTTCCGGAGTTTCGCCATCAAGTGTGATTGGGTTGGTGTTCTCCGTGTTGCATTTGAGAATCTTGCTTTTTCCTTTGTGAATGTGGAGGCCTATCGATGCGGAGGCTGCTGCTACATTTGCGGTCTTCATCTGCATTTGTTCGTGTGTATGAGAGAGGAGGGCTAGGTCATCTGCGAAGTCCAAATCATCTAATTGATTCTGAGAAGTCCATTGTATTCCGTATTTCCCCTCAGATGTCGAATTCTTCATAATCCAGTCAATCACTAGAAGGAAGAGGAATGGGGAGAGTAGACAGCCTTGTCTGACTCCGGTCCTTACTGGAAATGCATGTGTCAGCTGTCCTTCATGCACCACTTTGCACTGTAGTCTATCGCATGAGTTTTGGATAATGTTGACAATCTTTCCAGGAACTCCATAGTGTCGTAGAAGTTTCCGTAATGTTGTCCTATCCACGCTGTCAAACGCCTTCTCATAGTCGATGAAGTTGACGTATAGTGATGAGTTCCACTCAACTGATTGTTCAACGATGATCCGTAGTGTCGCAATCTGGTCTGTGCACGACCGATCCTTACGGAATCCAGCCTGATGATCCCTAAGTTCGGCGTCTACTGCGTCTTTCATCCGATTCAGCAACACTCTGTTGAAGACTTTTCCTGGTACTGATAACATACTGATGCCTCTGTAGTTCTCGCATTTGCTCAGATCTCCTTTCTTTGGTATCTTGATGAGATATCCTTCTTTCCAGTCCATTGGCACTTGTTCCTCTTCCCAAATCTTCTTGAATAGAAGGTGAATTTTGTCCAGGGTTCCCATAGAGATCCATTCCTTGTGATGATGCTTCTTAGGACCAAGAACCTCCTGACACGTTGAAGTTAGTGCTTCTTTTATCCCTTTCCAGTTGTCCTCCAAAGTAGTTTCTTGTTCATTCAGTAGATCCTGTAGAGCTTGGAACCTGTTGTTGAGAGTTATCTTTAATTCATGGAGCTTGTCAGTATCTCGAAGGAAGGCTGCATTGAACCTTTGTAGTGCTGTTTGTCCAGTTGTCCAGTGTTTCTTTAGCTTCAGTCTCATCTTGGTCACAACCAGGTAGTGATCTGAAGCTATGTCAGCTCTCCGGGTTCTCACATCTTCCATTGATCTTCGGAATTTTTTGTTGATACAGATGTGATCTATCTGGTTCTCTGTGGTTTGGTCCGGTGAGATCCATGTAGCTTTGTGTATGCGTTTGTGTGGGAATGTTGTGCCGCCTATAACCAATTTGTTGAATGCACATAGGTTTGCAAGTCTCTCCCCATTTTCATTTCTCTCTCCTAATCCATGTCGTCCAATTACATCTTCATATCCTGTGTTTTCCACTCCAAGTTTAGCATTTAGATCTCCCATCAGGTTGGTGAGGTCCTTTCGTGAGCACTTCTCTATAATTGATTGAAGCCTTTCATAGAACTGATCTTTATCATCGTCGTTGCTATCATTGGTGGGTGCATAACATTGGATAACGTTCATTGTTATCCCTTGCTTCTTTGTTCTAAATGATGCTTTGATTATCCTGGGTCCATGAAATTCCCATCCCACAAGTGCATTTCGTGCTTCTTTGGACAGCATTAGAGCAACTCCCTGAGCGTGTGGAGTATTTTCCCCTTCGTGATCGGAGTACAGCAGCATCTCTCCTGTACCTAGCCTTTGTTGTCCAGTTTGTGTCCAATGGGTTTCGCTGATTCCGAGTACTGCCAAGTTGTATCTCCTCATTTCCATTGCTATTTGGCTGGTCTTTCCTGTCTCCCACATTGTCCGGACGTTCCATGTACCTATAAAGAGTGTTGCTCTGGTTGTTAAAAGGTGCATCGGTCTCGTGACTTCCGAAGAATTTCGGCTTTCGTCATGAGACGTCATAATTTTTCCTTGAACTCTGACGGCGGAGTTTAAATGGTTTGAATTATTTTTTCTGGTTAGCGTTATTTTAGCGAGTTAGCTTTCCTACGGGATGGGGTCGCTAACTCCATGCCCAACCCTCCTCCTTTACCCGGGCTTGGGACCGGCAGTAACTCTAGAAGAGCTGCAGGCGGAGTTGAAATATATAAACAACAACAATAAAATACAACTTTGTGTTACATGATTGTTGTTTGAACAAAATAAGTGTTTTAACACAGTGTGAATTTCTTGACGTTCTCATGCAATATATATATATATAATTGTTGCTTGAGGGATTGCTCTCTTTTTATGACAACACCATGTAAACAATGGAGATTTGTGGTGGTGTGTATTCGGACGTAATGAGATCGATAAATCACCAACTGTTACTATCTTGTCTTCTGACGCTCAGAGTGTATGGAATCAGCTAAAAGACGGTCATTTCGTGAAAGAACGCGGCATAGTGAACAACAGTTTTGTTCGGTTGATACTTGTTTGTTCCGCAGGACCTTTTTGAGGGGGTTTTAATGATTGCATAATTTGGTGACTTGATATATCAATAGAGATTGCTCAAAGCGGAATCCAGTATCAATTCTATCGAAACCTCTTGGGAAATCCCAACGAAGCTTCCAGAGACTCTAAAGGACCCGAAGAGCTTCTATCCAATTAGGACCTGATAGAGCCTTCTAGAATACCATCTTTGCATGCTGCTATTGGACGATAGCATAACTTGGGTGCTTGAGGATTGAATGAATTATAATGATGTTAAGCCAATACTAATAACTACAAATACCCATATTATTCTGCACATTTTTTCATTCTTATCCAATAATGACTTCCCCTGCTTCCTCTTCCTTCTGATACGCGACTGTGGGGTTCTACAAATTCGAGTGCCATTAGTTGTGTATCGTATTTTACCGTAATCAAGTAGAGTATGTAACAGATTCCACTGTAATTTCCTTTCACTTTACCACCAATAACAGAATTCCTTCGCAATCTAAGTTGGATTTTACTGGGTATTTTTCAATCTAGATTTCATCTTTTACTTACGACCATTAATAGTGTCGTGACGAAAACAAAATCAATATAGTTGCATTACTGATGCTGCTGCCAAACTAATATGACTCGACACGTGTTGACAATGAAACATTGATGACAGATGAGAAGTTGTTCTGTGCTGAAAGCAAATCCAATTTATGTCTGAGTAGATTTGTTTTGTTTTCTTATATACGATTATTATATATCGATTAATAGTCAGATTTTGAATAAATTAAACTGATCCGCACTTGCCACTGATTCATCAGTAAATAACCATATAAACATAATTCACAAATATCATAAAAACAAAGTTCCTCAATTAACATTCAATATTGACTAATTGAGTTATATGTCTGGTCCTTTCAAACACCTTTCCAATTTTTACTGTACTGAATATAAATACATCTTTCGTCGTGAATCAATTTGAGCTACCTATCTCCTTCATTATCGTTGTTTATAAGAAATATTTCTCTTGTTTTTATTTATTGGTAATAATATAGTATCGTTTTGCGTTGTTAATAACTTGAAAATATCTATGCAAAAAGTGCATCCCAATCGTTATTTATTGTTTGTTCTTAAATCATTTTAGTCCTTCTGTAATCGATTGCTGTTAAAATATAAAACGATGAAGTTATCAGATATGAATTTTTATGTGTAAAAATTTACTTTATCTGTTTATCCCACCGTCTTTCTGCAATTATCCAACAATCAAGTCCAAGTTTGTTTAACTTTACTTAAATCCATGACTTTTTTTTCGGAATACCCTACCGAAATACTTAGATCAAAGTCAAAGAAATAAGAACAAACCAATAGAACTTAATTTAATTTTATACTGCTAATCCAAAGGTTTCTCAGTATAAATTCAAATTATACAACTAGATAAACATAAATTAAAGTATGATTCATAAATCGTCGCATAAAATGTAATTAGTCAATAAAAAGTATGAATTTTTCACGGCTATATGTTTTTGTTTATCCTTCGAAATGTTTTCTTTTCTTTTTAGGTTTTTGCATTCGATCCAATAGATAATGCTAGATATATGCGTCCATTGTTGTATAATCCTGGTATACCTGTTCCTTCTTCAGATCCAGATGCTCCACAATTTGTTTGATATTGAATTTTAATATGTTGTAATGATACTGTTAAATAAGTTATTGTCAATGTCACATATATACCTCGTATCGATTCAACCAAGAAAAAAGAAAGAAGTCTACATCTCTGTCTTTTTCCAATTTTATTTCTCATTATTATTCCTTATTAATACCTTCATTGTTTAATTCATATTTCATTGCATATTAACAATGACATGTGTCTATGTACCTACTGCTTGGTGTATTTCACTTTTTAAAAGCTTTGTATTTTTGTTGTGTATTTTCATATTATCATTTCGTCCTTGTTTAGTTTGTGTTTAGCCTGTGCGATATATATATGTATGTTGAGCTGAACTATATGCGTACATATTCCCACAGTTGGCCTTACACAATCTCTTTCTGCTAACTAGTAGATGTGTTTTAGCTTCATCGCATTTTAACTCTGTTCTCACTGAGATTCTTCATGAATATACCTCTGCTGTATTACATAAACGGATGTATTAAAATGTGTGAGTAGATTGGTCATAAATTAAGAAGTGTAAACATAATCACATCATCCACCTCTACTGAAAATACTAAAGTTTTCTGTTTGTATACGGCTTTATATCGCATCTACTATTATAACAGTAACTGGATTTCACATTTATTAATCACTATTATAAATAGTGTCGGGAAATGACAGTGAAGAATGAATTCTGTGATAGATTCACAACAGGTTCATAGTTATTCTTTGATTTTACGTGTACGACTATCAGCTAATTGACTGCATTCCTTTGTTGATCATTTTTATTGTTTGATTTCCACTTAAAGAAAATTCCCCTTCTAATAAGGATTGGGAATATTTTTCTTATACAAATATTGTCATGTACTTTAAAGATCCATTAGCTTTTTATAAAGCATTTTTCTCTTGTTTATCTGTTCACTTAACTCATAGTTATCTGTAATTCCTTTCTTTTTATTGAAAAACAATATTCATCAGTCTGTCATAATTAAGCTAATATTCAATTATTTAATTGTGCTCTTATATAATTTATTACTTGTTGTGTTAAGTTCGCCTTTAGTGTGTATATTTAATCAGTTAACAGGAGAACTGTGAAGCTGTCATGAATGTATTGTGTAATTCATCTAAAACATTTTTCGTATATTTAGGTAATCAGCTTTAGCTTTTATTATTTATATGTATATGTGTATATATATTAAAAACGTCCGTACAACATCTCTCACCTTCTTAAAGAACATCTGTTATGATGTTCACTATTCTCATGGATTTGGTGTTTTAAGAGTTTTCACCTAGAATATGACAGAGTTGATTGTCCTATTTTATGAATCTTAATCTTTACTCACTCAAGTTGAGCCAAAATGGTAAGTGATGCATTTTTAAACGATGGTGTCTTCAAGGCATAGTTTGCGTATAGCGGAACTAACATTTATAAAATTTCGTAGTTAGCAGTTGTCATTAATAAATACCTATTTTATCTAATGACTAGACTCCTCTAAAATGACAAAATTGGGAATCGCTCAAGAAAACTTTGAGATTGATTGACCACGAATCTGTGTATGATAAACAGTATAATTATGCTCAGGCTTCAAATAGAGTGTAAAAATCTATCACGTTCTAGATTGTTTCGACTAATTTAATGCGATCACTAACAATGCGATTCAATGTGTTCAAGATTCGTGGATTATTTATTATTCGAGTGGTAGTGTTTGTAATAATTTTGAATGGCTTCTACTAACCCATGGAATCGGTGTAACACCCTGAGTGCTTTCCAGTTGATCAGGAAACTACACGAACTTATTTGTTAACTGACGTTTATCAGTGTTCGTCGTTACCCCATGCTTGTGCAGTCGTATCGGTGAAAACTAATCTTATTGACACTTATCTAGTTATTTCGCTAAGTAACTCGTACATATCTTTGTGTGTTTCCAACTTGTTAAATCTTTCACTTCTATCGCTCCAAGAAACTGCCAAATTTAATAATACTTGTTATTCTCCATTCACTATTCGTTGCATAAACGTATTACAATCACCTGATTGTGGAATTAGAAATGAACACGATATCAAAATGTTAAGTATCTTCGCCACTTGCAGCGAACAAGGCAAAGTGTATTTGATAGTCGTCAGAGTAATTAAGCCAAATTCATTGTAAGAAGATTAAATGGTTTTGAAATATACTAGAGGCTTCACCATAAGTGCACAAAGCATCTTAGATTTGTGTGACTGTTCTATAATCAAATATTTACGATTCACAATAATTAGGATAAAATGAAACGAGATTCCATGTGTTATGCTTAGTTTGGAAAGTAGATTCACAACGTAAAAACGTGCAAAATAGTTGGTAGGTTAATTAGACATGAAGGTTTCATAATTTTGTAAACATACTCAACATTCCGTAGTTAACTAATGTAGCGCTTGCCTAAACATTTTCTCTTGTTTTAGTCAGCACATAGAACCAAAGTTTGTTTAAATGTACATACCCTTTGAATCGTACTATGTAGGGAGAACACTTTAATCAATCAATGATTCGTGAATGAGTAATGATTGATAGCATTCTCGCTCGCATCGTTCAAGTTCAAAAACTTATTGAAATTTGAATGACGTAATATACCATTATCACTGTGATGAAATTCTATACTTTTGTTGCTACTACGCTTACTGAGAAGACTACGTATTTCACGCAACGGAGAACTACTCAGATTTGTGTTTGCAGCTTCTATTGATGTCAACTTAATATTAACTACCATTTTTAAACAAATTTTAGCTAAGGTCTGGCGCTTTAACCGGATCGGTGGAGACGGCGCGTCCACCTAGGGGAGTTGGGAAACCCTGATTTCAAACCAATGGTGCACATGGGCTCCAGTATCCTGAAGGAACAAATGGCGTATGACTCAATCGTTGGTCACCGGCTACCATGGGACTGCATCTCCTCACGATGCTTCACTGCCTTGTGGATCAGATCTTTAGGTCGAAGGCTCTGGGTGTGGTCCCCTAAGGAAACCACCTGTTTCAGTCTGGGCAGCATCACAGCCCTCCCACCAATAAATGAAATGACGATACTATTCGCGCTGTTACTAATAGTCAGACAATTTACACTATCATTATTATTTACCACATCTCTAACTCACCCCCTTTTATCCCCAATTTGTGTAACCTTACTTTTCATCTTATGCAGCAGCTCGCCCATGGTGGAAATCTGTTTTATCTAAACGATCTCCACTCACTGTCTGGTCGGAAGTGAATGATTCTACCGAACACGATTACTGAACCAGTCTTTCTGAAACCGCGTACGCCGTTCAAGCTGGATTCCTTCAACGTTCGCTCACTAATGCAGATCGAACAACAAATAGGGCTGGCTATGTCTCTAGAAAGTCTTAATGTTGACGTTTGTTGTCTATCCGACACCCGTATTTAAGACTAGTGAAGTATCACAAATTCACAGGATTCCTACAACGCATTGAAGCACGTCGGTCTACTCCGGGTGACTGTGAGTTTGACCACAAGCGAAGGCTGTTACGCAATGAAATCGGGCAAAGCTTGCAGAGGATTGAAGAGCCTGGTGGTCGGATTGTGCTAATGAGCTGGATGCAGCAGGTGCATCTGGTAGATGCCTGAAGCTCTTTCAACTTATCCGAATCACTGGCAGCAAGAAGTCCAGTGTGAATGAGACAGTCTGTGAGGATGACGGGATGCCAATCACTGACATCTACCGACGTCTTGGACGATGGGCAGAATTCTTTGAAGGGCAGTTCAACTGGCCTGCTGCTCTGGCAACATCGGTCAGATTGTCTTGCCCTCCATGGCCGGTTAAGACTGATCCACCATATGAGGCGAAAGTTCGCAAATAACTCCAATTCTTGAAACTCCACGAATCGCCGGGCTCAGATGACTTACCTCCGGCTCTTTTTAAAGATGGCAATGACTTCCTGGCTAATGAATTGACTGAGTTGTTTACGAAGGTTTGGGAGCTAGAGAGTGTTTCAACGTCATGGAATGAGTCGATAGTTGTCCCTATCTTTGGAAAGGGTTCACGTCGTTCCTGTAAAAACTACCGGGGGATAAGTCTACTTCCGACTGCATCCAAACTATTGGCTTCCGTCATACTTCGTAGATAGTTTAAAACCCGAGAAAGATTGACTCGCGAGGAGCAGGCTGGTTTTCGTTCTGGTCGAGGATGCATTGATCATATTTTCACCCTCCGCCAAATGTTAGAACACCGTTATATTTATCATAGGCGAACAATTGTAGTGTTTCTTGATATCATGGCTGCCTTCGATTCGTTGGACAGGACTGTTTTCTGGGATTGTCTTTTGAAGAAGGGTGTGCCTGAGAAGTTTATTGACATCCTAAAAGCCCTAAATACAAACACCTAAGTCAGAGCGAGGGCATACAACCTCTCTCTATCGTTCCATTCAAGCATTGGGGTTAAGCAGGGTTGCCCAATCTCACCATTCCTCTTCAACTTTGCCATCGATGACATCCTGGAAACAGCTCTGATGGATGTAAGTAATGGCGGTGTGAATATGTTGCCTGGAGAACGACTTCTCGACCTTGAGTATGCGGATGATATTATCTTACTGTGCGATGATGCCCAAGCCATGCAATCTGCACATAATCAGTTGACAATAGATGTCCACAGATACGGCCTGTACTTTGCACCTTCAAAGTGCAAGGTACTCCAACAAGACTGGCAGGATTCTCATCCTGTACTCACTCTAGATGGTGAGCAGATTGAAGTAGTTGAGAAGTTCGTGTATCTAGGTAGCTGCATAAGTGCTGGTGGTGGCGTGAGTAATGAGGTTGATGCACGTATAGTGAAAGCCAGAGCGGCTTATGCCAATCTGGGCCACCTTTGGCGCCTTCGTAAAGTTAGTCTGGCTGTAAAAGATCGGATCTACAATGCGTCGGTGAGAGCTGTTTTGCTCTATGCTTGTGAAACCTGACCTCTACGAGTTGAGGATTTTAGAAGACTCTCTGTGTTCGGTCATTGTTTCCTCCGAAATAATTGCTGACATCCAATGG